CAAGTAGGAGTGCATGGCGCGTCCGGCATTGCAGTGCCCCTATGGGGTGCTCAGCATCAGATGTGTCTGTGCTACAAGTGTAGGAAGGAAAGAGAGGTCATCTGTATAAAGATAGAAAAAGAGAAGAAGGAAAGAAGAATGGAATGAGAGGATGAGACGAAAGGAAAGGAGGTGGTGGCGGCGGCGGTGGCAGCGTGCCCTGACAGTGATCCATTAGAACACTATCAACCTTCTTTCAAAGCTCATCCCATGTTTTTGGCCTGCTTAATGGAGCAATGGACCTCACATCATCTATAAGGTCCTCGATTTCCTCATCCCTGATATCTCCACCGCTAATTTCATTCTCCTCTTCACCCACCACTTCATTATAATCATTTCCAAATGCATAATTGGCAGCTCTGCACTGTTGTTTGCCCTCAACTGTCTGGGGGTTCTCATTGGTTGGTAAGGGAAGGCCCAACATGTGTGCTGCACACTTCCACTTAACTTGGCCATTGATGATGGGTGAGAGGGTTTGTACATCTTCATTACAGGTTGTAATGCTGTTAGAATGGGGCGGATACAGATGACTCCGGAGTGGAATCGGAGACTTAGCATGGAGGGACCTTGGCCTCAGCGACTCAAGCGGAGTGCTGTGCCATTGCTGTTTGTCCATTTGGTCCTTAATTTCACAGTAGGTGAGCAGGAAGTCTCTAGGGGGCATTTCAGGTCGATTTCAGACTGAACCAAAACGAGTATGTACAAGCGCCGATATATATAATGGAGGGGGCAAAAGCACAAGGAAAACAAAGGGTACCGAATCGGAACGAAGACGTCCGAACGGGAACAAAGGGTAGAAGAAGCGGAGCGGTACCAAAGGTCATAAGGCAGGACCTGTGATACATCCGAAAGGAGGTAGGGAGGGCGAGGCCCAGAGGGGCAGGAGGATGAGGAGAAGTGGGGATGATGACTAACTGGCTAGAATAGGAAGAAGCAGTAGTCCAAATAGGGATGAGGGGAAAACGCGAGAGATACATTACAAGCGGCGAAAGTGCTGAAGGCGATCCGCGAAGCTTGGGGGTTGCGGAGCTTACAGAGGTTACGGAGGCTGGGTGGAAAGTCCGAGGGATATTGGCAATGGTTTTTACGTAGTATGAGGTCACCAATGCAATGGACTAAGACCGAGGTGGAGTCAAAGTCTGAGGTAGGGACTATGACGGAGGCTCGGAGCAAAGGTATGAGCAGTGTCCGAGTACGAAGTACGGGACAGTGGTGGAAGGTCGTAACTTGGCGGGAGGGTGGCGGAAGAGTACCAGAGGGAGGAGAGAGGGGAAAGGTAAGGGAGGAGGAGTGGCAGAGAGGAGAGTTGTCAGGTCCGAAGGTGAATATCGGAGCGGATGGTGGAAGCATAGGAGGGTGACAGGAGGGTGGAGGTGTTGTGAAGGAGGAGCGGAGTAGGAGGAGGAGGAGTAGTAGGAGGGTGGTGAGAGGGGCGGCGTTCGGTCCGAGGTGAGTATCGGAGCAGACGGAGATAGGGAAGGAGAGGGAAGGAGGAGCAGAGGTGGCATGGGGGGTGAGAGGAGGTGTGTTGCCAGGACCAGAGGTGAGTATCGGAACGGCAGCGGTAGGGTATGACTCCGGAGGTGAAGAGGGTGGAGGTCTGGAAGTCGGGTAGGGGTCGGGTATGCACAGATATGACAAATGCTAACATTGGGTGAGCCATTGGGGGGTGGGGAACTAGGAGTCAATGGATTGCTGGAAAATGGGGTGCCAGACAATGTGTTGCTGGATGGCACATCATTGCATGATGTTGTGGTGGCAGGTCCAATAGTGGTGCTGGATTTCTTCAGAGAGAATGCACTTAGCACTGTCTGCTTCAGACCTGCCTGACAGTCTCTCTGTGCATACAGTCTTTGTGTCCATGGCGCTTTGTTGGTGTTATGGAAATGGGAATTTCCCATTTCTAGCCTCTTATGGGCTCTGTACAGTACACAGTCACGTGATATGTAAATAATAACAACTTAACCAATGATTATCACCCAAAACACCCAATGTCCATGTTATTGTAAACACCACTGTTACAACATCTGTTACATTAATTGTAACATCTTCTCAATGTCACAGCCCCCTCCTGCACCCGAACACTATAGAAATGGGCCAATTAGGCCCCATTTTTATAACAGTTGGCAATAACCGGCCCCTTTCCATATGGGCCCCGAGTCTGTGAGTGAGATATCACTAAAAATTGAAGGGTAAGTGGTTTGTTATTGTCATCGAAGTCACAATGGGAGCCGGGCACACCATCTCCCCTCTCTTTAGACTGCTGTGCGAGGTCCAACTTCATTTGTGTTGAATAATTAAAGCCATTTTTCGGATGGTATGGCATCTCTGGCTCTCTTAGCCAGATTCTCTACTGCCTCATCCTCTCCACTTTCATACACATTGTCGCTGTCGGAATCTTCGTCACTGCATGCCAAAAAAGGAATTCCAGGGCTCCATTCACTCCTGCGGCAGTAGGGGTCCCATTCGTCCTCATCACTCGAGTCTAAGATATACTCTGTGACTTTTTCAATAGGTCCCAAGTACCTCAGAATTGACATAGGCCCTAACTCTATTTGAGTTTAGGTTGGCAGTGTTCGGGTCGGGAGCAATCTGGTCTCGTGATTCAATCATCAAACTAAGACAACCCTTTTGCTGCCACATTGCCGCATATATCATCAGCACTTGTTCAAAATCATGTCCCTTTCAATAAACCTTTCAAATAGTACTAGAGTTGGGCCCCAGTGCCCATTTTTTGGCTGCTGGCAAAATTTTGCGGTTCAATGGAAATAAAATTTTCAATTTGGGCTATTGTGACACACGGAAAGAACACCGACATGTAAAAGAAAGCGTTTTGTGCATATTTAGGGAGTTCCTTTCCATTGGCAAATTTTTTTCAAGTGTTTGCTTGGGCTCAACTGTACTAACAATGGCATTCCATTAGTGCTATTATAGTAGATCCAATAGCCGGATTTCAACATCACATCGCGCAGTGGAACCTATATATCTTCTTATCATCTTTAAGCAGAATCCGATGATTGATACCACGTAAAGGAGGTAGTGGGGTTTCATCGAATGGTTTCGGTGGTCCTTATCACCATTCCGGAGTTTAAGATAGCTTGAGCCTCCCGGAGTCTGCAAAGCGTGACTTTCAATGGCACTTATAATGACGTTTATGAGCCCATTGATCTCCACCCAGTCTTGCCAGTACTTTGGCTCGGGGCCGGGCTCGCTGTTGCCAGCTTCTATCAAGGCTAAAATAGCGACAGACCACAGCATATTCCTTTGCAGTTATACTCGGAACGAGTTTGAATCTTGGTTTGATACCTCCATCATTATTGGAGTCAATGGGGGGGGGGGGGGGGGGGAACAACGAAGTGCGAATATGGCATGTACATCGGTGAGAAGTCCTGAGTAAGAAAGCTCGATGGTGTGGAGCGTTTGGAGGGTGGACAAGCGGTTAGCGAGTCCTGAGGATATCGTCGCAAGTAATAATCCTTTTATACTTTCAATGATGATTTGGAAAAGTTGCAGGAGATGCTGAGAAAACGAAGCAGCACAACCTCTGTAAACCATTCGATGAAACCCCACTACCTCCTTTTCGTGATATCAATCATCGAATCCCGCTTAAAGATGATAAGAATAGATTCCGCTGCGCCGTCCGCGACGCTCGTAAGGGCTTGTTGGGCCACGGGGAGGTCTACTTCGGACCCCAGCGACCAGCCGAAGTACTGGAAAGACTGGGTAGAGATCAACAGGCTCACAAATGCCATTCTAAGTGCCATCGAAAGTCATACTTTTCACTCCCCATTCCTGGAGGCCCAAGATATCTTAAACAACTCCGGAACGGTGATAAGGCCCACCGAAAAGATACACGCGCCCACCAGCCTCTCCTTCGGCTGGTTGTTGGGTCCGAGGTAGACCTCTCCGTGGCCCAACAAGCCCTTACGGCCCTTACGAGCGTCGCGGACGAGGACGCGGACACGTTATGCGAACTATGGAGCAAGATTCAATATGGAGATATCCAACCTGACCCAACCCAAACCCGATAGTAGCACCATGCCCTGCCTTCGAGCGCGATAGAGCACTTGAGCAAGTTGTCGATGGTCAACTTGCGGAACGAAGATGCCGAGGCGTTACAAAGGAACCGAGGGATCGTCGAACCCGCAAGTTAATCATTGAACACTTCATAAGTCAGAAACCGAATTTCTCTATGCGATCTTAGGTCATCATTTGACTAACACCAGTTCTTAGATGCGAGTTATCCTGTCCTCGCAGGAGGCTGGATATGTATACCCGTCCAAGTTTACTGGTTAGCCATCGGCAACAGCCGATCTTGAGGTGCACCTGTTCCCACGTTGCCGAAACTTGTTCTCGAGTTATCACGAAGACCAGCTAGCGTATTCGCACCACCAAAATGCTCGTAGGAATATCTGAGGGAAAGCTACCACTTCTTTTATGCAAAGAGATTGCTCCTTCCCGGAATGAACACGTAAGCGCGACACTACAGGATAAATAACTCAGAACCCCTACGATTTGAAAGTTGTACATGTAGTACAGACGCAGTGCGTTACCGCAAGGGTTTTGGATTTGACTCCTTAGGCCACATGCCACCTTCAATTAGAATGGAACGTTATCTGGGATGTTTGTCCAGGGAGTTGCCCAACGTACCTGCACTCAGACGTTTTCTCCTTTCAAAACTCCGGCCACCAACCCCAACCCCCGACGTAGTGAGAGTTATCCATCCCCGCTGGTTCCAAATATCTCACCGATCATCCGCGAGCTACGAGAGACACAATCCCACAGTCATAATACCCTATATATATATGTCCCGACAACCCGAACGTGGTAACGAGGCGAGGGAATAAGGAAAACCGAATTCTATTTCGCTCCTTGATTCAACTGTGCAACCATAGGCAGGACCTAGCTTTCTATTGGAATATAGGGTTCAACCAACTCCTCCATAAACATCGTTGGTATGTGGATGCCTCGACTAAGCGCAACGCAGCTTCAAAACGTACGGGAGAGACAGGCAATTGCGAAAGGCCAAAAAAAAAAAAAAAAAAGTGCCGGCGCATTGAGCGCGATTTAGGAAGTGAGGGGCCGACAAATAGCAATGGGGGAAACGCTCCTCAAGAGGGACGCGTCCGAGAACTGCTCACCCTCAGTCGAGGCCGAAGCGATAATGCTCAATGACAGGAGAGGGAATGCGACGAAATCTAAGAATCGCTCTGGCTATTTTCTTGTGCTCCAGCCTCTGCCACTCCAACGATCTCATAATGAATTTGTCAGTGTACCTCGCTCATGCAATTTACACGATTTATCCTCTGTCCCCCCCCACGTCGGCTTGTGTCCCATGCGCCGATTCGAGTCCGACGCATATCCGCGTTATCATCATCATCATCATCATCATCACCTGTCTTTTGGGTCCCTTGGACACCCTCTAGCTAGCTCATGCGCTTGAAATGGCTCCCTGCAGCATTTGCTTCGAACGTTTCCACTTGCTCACCTCCGGTAATTTGTGTTTGTCACATTCCGTCTAGCTTTCATTACGGATCCTTCCATATCGTTTGGTACCACTTCGATGGTTATGCTATTAACGATTCCTCGAGTTGTGCATCGCACCCGACTCGTTTATCATGCCGAATCCCGAGCCATCCTGTAACGTGTCGAAGTTCGGGAGGAGTGGCTTACCGCTACTTGGAGCAGTCAACTACATTTTTACACTTGCCGCCAAGGACACTGCGAAGCTTGTTCTCAAAGCGAGATCCTCCTTCAAGTTGTTGGCCATCTCTCATTATCTGTCATCGTTTAGCTCTTCACCTCTTGAGCGGTGCGACCGCTCCCGTCTCCTGCCCACTGGATAATGCTCCCTCCTTGTGCCGTAGCCAAATCGCTCCTCGTTATGCCTATCACATTCTATTCCGGGATGTTCCAAGGGAAAAAAAAAAAAACAAAGCCGTGTGGACTCCATTCCCAGCTTTCCGGTCACCATTTGAGTCATCTTGAGCCCGAACCAGCGATTCATCTATCACACTCCTTGAGTGGAGTTTCGTGCATATATACCATCATGGGATATGAAAGATATTCACATCCCTTGACGCGACTCTGAATGACCATGATAGCCAGATATGGATGTCTACTTCGGCCACCGACTCCGGTGGCGCAATGATCAACAACTTTTCTGTCTAAATTCGGAATCAAAGAAGACCAAAATGACGTCATGCATAAGATCCGGAGGCCCCACAGAGGCGAATATCATGATAATGAGGGTTGCCCTAGGGAGCCGTGTAATAGGCGCGCCAATAAGGGAAATTTGATGGAACTCGGCAGCGCATGAGGTTTGTTATCGGACCCCGAGAGTGTGACGCAGTTGCGGTAGCCAAGCGGGTCCGTGCCCATTTGAACCTATCGAGAACTAGAACTGCTACCACAAAGATGTATTTACGCACAGTGGCCTCATGCTCCTTGCGGGACTCGCGCTGGCCTCGGGGGTCAGTTTACTAAGACCGCTCTAAGATACTCGTGCGTCGGAGTTAAACCTCGAGGCTAGCTAGCTAGCCGGCCCTGCAAGATATCTCGATCTGAATCTGTTTCCGCACAACCACATCAACTATTTGTTATGCCTCAGTTAAGCTACCGTCGCTTCCCTATTCTCAACTTCGTACGGAGGCGGCTGGCCCAACTTACCAACAAGCCCAAGCAGGTGAAGTTTTCCAAACAATGAAGGCTACCACCACAACAATTGCAACAGTCCCGCCAACAGCGGTGCCTGCTATAAGTCTTACGGGAGGGGAGTTGGTGAAAAGGATTTGTAGATGCAGGCGGTGAGCTTGTGGTAGCGGTTGTTGTGCCACATCGTGCAACCAACCCCTTCGAGATCATATTAATATTATTGGTATTATTGGTGTGTCTGGTCTGACCCTCCAGCACCGGCACCGTGCATGACGGAGTTGATCCCTTCTCACGTCAGACTGATACGGAATACTTGCACGGTGAAGGACTCGAAACCATCACCGGGTTAGCCTGGGAATTAGGTGGCTGATTCTTGTGAAGAGATGTTGCCTAACTGGGTGGAGTCTTAATGTTTAGGCCATTTCCTCAGTTATCAACACGGAGCTAATGGGAAGCTATATGTATGGCCGATTGGAGAAGGCAGATACCTCCGAGTCACCCCACAATCTTGTCTATCTACAGCGTGATACAATGTTGTCGTTGAGAATATCAGGCACTTATACAACAGGCAAGATTGACGTTCTTAAACTGTGTATCAGGTCTGAGGAGCTTAACGATAAGAGCTATCACCGCGACTAGTCCAGTAACCCCTCCAACAGTTCCCCCTACAATAGCTCCTACATAAGTAGAACTGCGACCTGAGGATGACGGGGAAGAGGTGCTTGTAGAAGTACTGGACGATGGGGTTGTCGATTGAGACGTGTTGTTACTCGTAGAGGAAGCGGTTGAGAAGCCTGTGCTGGAAGGAGAAGTATTTGTAGATGTAGGCGATGAGCTTCTGGTCGTGGTTGTTGTGCCACCGGTTAGAGACTATTTAGAGCGTGGGTGCCCAACGGTGTAAACTTTATCAAACCCTTCGCCGAAAAGGAGGTCGAGAGCTACTGACCACAGACGAGACTGAAGCGATGCTGCTCAATGACAGGAGAGATTGAAGCGAACGCGAAGAAATCTAAGGGTCAGATGGTTAGAATGCCGCTTCAACCCCCCTGCGTCTGGAGAATGTAATACGCACCACGGAAACGCTCTAACAGGTAAAGGATCGATACGTCAATCAAGGTATTGGTCAGGTAAAATGCTAACCGAGAGTGAAGCTAGTGATGAACTCCCAGTACCCGGGTTCGGCTATCGTACCGAGAAAAAAAGGTTCGTAAGACAGTGGCGTGAACACGGGACCAAGAAGCAGAGGTGAAGCTAACGCACGTCGATCACATAGGAGTTACTTGTCGTTGTCGACCCAGTAGCGTCTATCAGTACGAAGTACACGGTTACCCTTGTGCCAGTATTGATGGTACTACCGGGCAGCACGAAGCGACGTAAGAGAGGCATGCGACTGTGAGCATCAACCAGAAAGATAACAGGACCGACCAACGTACAGGCCGAAAGGGGGCGCTGGGACTATAAAACTCTGCAATATCGTATTGGCATCCTGATTCCAAACGTGGAGCGTAGCGGGGGCCTGCCAAGAACATGACCATGTTGCGTGTTACCAGATCGGGAGGTAGAAAATGCCCCCATACAAGGTGCAGTGGTTTGGAAAGTTGGCATCGATTGTGGAGCCAATGCATAGAACTCACCGAACAGGCCGTCCAGGACACTTGGAACTGGACACCATTCGTAATCGCGTCCGGGAGGATTAGCGTGCACGCCAAGCCAATCCGAGCACAGAGCGCGAAAAGAAGGACATGAAGGGCCCAGGGGAAGGATAAGAGCCTTGCCATCGTTGTATCCACTTGCTTTGTTCTCTCCCCTTCGTCAGAAGAAAAGCGCAGCGGATACACGCTGCGAAAGAAAGGTTGTAGAGGTGGGTGGGGAAGGGGGGAGAAGCAGAGAGCAAGCAGTAACTTGTAGGGGTACAGGTCTCACCAAACACGCGGTTTCCACCGTCCTCATTGAGGAAAGACGTTCTGAAGGATTCCAAAACCAAATTTGGCTCATTCTCGGCCACTGCAAGCAGACTAGTTGGTTGAAGCAGCCTCATTGCAAGGAGTCTCTTGCTGGCATAATGTCCCGGCCGCTGGTCGCGGGATCAGCAAGTTCAATAGACGAAAACATTTGAGCGAGGAAACGGAGCTGCCAGTGGCTTTCCATGTGGGAAATGTCAGTCGTCCCTTGCAGCGAGCGGATGAGAGGAACAAAGAAATCTGCGTCCCGATTTGGATGAATGATCTCGGCAGATCCACAAACGGCAGTCAAATTGAGTGATCGGTGCGTGTTATCGCTATTTTTACCCTTTGAAACAATATGTAATCGAGGCCAACAGTGTGGTCATGGGTATGGAATGAGCCACCGAAAAATAATATACTTGTCACGGGTTCATGAATTATATGTCTGACTTGTCTTGGGGGTGGGCAAGCGAAGCTTGCCCACGGGACTGCTTATGTAAGCTAGACTGGCCGCAGAGCAGCCTGTGGTATAGTTTTATAACTCATCACAAATGTCTCATGCAACAAAAAGTTGAATCAAAAGTTACTTGGAATTGTAAAAGCTGATAATTGGACTGAGGAATTGTAAAAAAAATGAGTTCTCATGGCTCTACAACCGTTCTCGACAACCAGCACGTTTTATAAAAATCCAACAGTCCGAATTATAGAAAAAGACCCTCTACACATCCAGGAGAATTTCTACATGCTTAGCTGCTGTGTGACGAGCCTGAAATTGTTGGGTGATCATTTGTTTATTCGTGTGTACGTCATCGCACTCAATAGCGCATTCTGGAGATGCCTGGGGCACACTCAGCTCAATTGATGCTCTTCTGACTTTAGAACAACTTCCTACCATGCTCCTTATACCCTTTTACATTTTCAGCGATTGGTATTAGTATTACGGAAAATTCGTTGCATACAAAACAATCAAAATCAACTGCCCATTTAATTCATTGGCGATGTATAGCTGTAACAACACTGAGGGCTTCATAAGGGCAAATTTCAGTGAAGCCCATCATCCATTCCTCAGGAAGGAAGCTCGGCATCGAGGACACACAGAATCTTGAGAGGAAACTATGGACAAAGTTGAGGCAGCAAAAGCTGCTGCCAGCCGTGAAGCCCAGAAGGCACGAGATGAGAAGAAGAGAGTGGAGGAGGAGAAACTAGAGTGTACTATACTCCAGTTGGGTGCTACAGTGATTGCTGCAATGATGGGGGAAAAGCTAATTGAACAGATCAACAAGCTCGTTGGCTGGCCCCTAAGGACACCTTTATTCCTAATTGAACAGCAGTCAATAAGGTACGAGTTGGGCCCCAGAAGGCACTACTCCAAGATATTGTAAAACGCTATAATGCACGATCTGTAGAGTCGCCAGGATCTGCTATCTGAGGTACCATAACTGGTCTGTTTACATGCTCATTTTATAATGCGTGGATTTTTCTGATTGAGCGCTCAGTACATACTTTACATTGTATATTCACACTCTCTAGGTTTTTGTTGGGACTTGGAATACAGTTTCACGAGTTATCGATGGAACATTTGCAAGGCCATGTTTTGCCCAAATCTGATTACATAAGCGGTACACGGACACAACCTGAGTTGCCCAGTCCCACTTGTCTGACTTGATCGACATACTTGGGTCCGGATTCAAATTTTGTATTATAAATGTAGAAGTCACGCTCTGCTTTCAATACAAAAAATCACATGTTACACGGGGATAAACCCAAGTCCGATCATTTAGTCCATTCCGGGAGTGGCAACACGCTTAGGCATTTGCCGAAGTCTGAGAAGTCTGGGGCATGCGAGGTTCCCATGGGAAAATCTAGACCGCCCAGTTACTTTGCTATGAAGTCGACACCCAAGCCGGTGTTGGGTGTAACTGCTTATATATTACTTTGCATGCAATAAAGATGTTAGGTGTTGTGGCCCAGATGGCAGAGTGTTAGTTTGTGGCTTTCATTTTGAAGGCATAGGTTCGATTCCCACCGTGTATATCTTTTTTTTGTATTCCATGCTTGGCCTGAATACTTATATGAAGGCATGGATTCAGTTCTATTTTTTTCCGGTGTTCCTAATTTACTGGCATTGTGCATAAAACATTCCCACTGCAACCAGATGGGAATGCAAAAAACAAAAAACCAAAAAAAAAAAAAAGATTTACCCCAAGTGGGAATTGAACCCATGGCTTCAAAATAAAAACCACTACCTAACACTCCACCATCTGGACCGCAACACCCAATACTTTTACAGCGTGCGAAGTAATATATAAGCAGTAGAGCCCAACACAGGCTTGGGTGCCGACTTCATAGCAAAGTAACTGGGCATGTGTCTAGATTCTCCTTCTCTCTGCATGGGAACCTCGCATGCTCTCAGACTTCGGCAAATGCCTGAGCCCACTCCCAGAATGGACTAAATGATCGGACTTGGGTTTATCCCCGTGTAACGTGTGATCTTTTGTATTGAAAGCAGAGCGTGACTTCTACATTTGTAATATAAAATTTGAACCCGGACCTGAGCATGTCGATCAAGTCAGACAAGTCAGACATATAATTCATGAACCCGTGACAAGTATATTATTTTTCGGTGGCTCATTCCATACATGGGTGCGGCTGGATTGCCATGTTTGGTCTGAGTGCCAGCACTCACCTTCTTAAACACATACATGATTCAGAGCGGTGAATTCGCTTCGCGAGCCCAACGAAATGTGTAACATGCGGCAACGTTCAAGTTCCCAAGAACTGTCAGAGAAAAACTCAAGCCACGGTGTTGCTACTAATGTTATGCTACCCTCAAGAAACCCTTATGAGAATGCACGATAGAGGTATCAGGTCTTGCGAATATATAGTTGAGGCCAGCACACCCTTGCATGCATGCCCAATCACTGTGAAGTGCCCGTGTCGTACCTCATTACGAATCTTGGCTGCAAGGTAATGTCGATGGCTCACGAGTGGACCGGTAAATTGGCGCACACGATCGCATGGTATCGGTTGTAAGTCCATCCATCTAGTTGAGTTGACACATGGTTATGCCAGCATCTTGTTCCCACGTTGCCAGAACGAGGACGCTGACGCCTGCTTGTCCTCCAGCATCTGAAGACCAGACAGCACATTGAAAAGTGGATGATGGAATATGAATGTAGCTACCACTTCTTTCGCATAATGTTTCGTTGAGATCGCTGTCCCCAATCCCTGCATGAAATCCCCAGAACATGCATGGCGCCGGTAGACCATCGTTTCATTCTGTAAACATCTTAGGCAGGTGCTTTACAACACACTTTCGTGCTGTTGGGGAACGCGGATTCGAACGGGTGCTAGTATACTCAGATCAAAACTTTGCGACAATCCCGCCGGAGTGAAACAGGGTGCGGTAGTTAATACTTGTATTAGACACGGCAGGACCCAGGCCAGGCACAGCTGTGATCGTATATTGACCGCAACCCGCTCATTTCCCTTGCGCTCCAGAGAGTACTCAGACTCACGCTAGGAGACAGAGAAGACGGTCAAGCAGAATAAGTATTCGGCCAACCCTTACAGTACTGTAATTGTGGCTATTCACCACGAGATCTTAGAGAGAGGCTCCTACCGTAGATTCGGAGTCGACACAGGGGCGGACGGTCGCCAATCCGCTGGTGAACTGGATCGACCGTGTCTGCTTACGGAAGGCGAAGGAAGTTTACAATGGTTAGGCCCCCGGTTTTGTACATGGTGAGTCTGTAAGTTATGTGTGCTCACTCTAGCTTATGCTCCCTCTACCACTTCACGATCCCATAATGAATCAGTCTGTTGTTCTGACTAGCCTGATATGGGCGTAGTGCCTGGCGGTTACACTCGCAACATGGCAAAGGACATGCCGGATAATGGCCATCAAATCGACAACTATCCACATGGTACTTATAGTATGACAAGGCTATGCTACAGATCAAGCGATGCACAGACGTGTCAGGGAGGCTGTGTTGGAACGGATGTGGGATGCTGCGCATCCGTGCCGCCTGTGGGACATGTTGCCAAAGCGACATCATGACTACAGTCTGACACTGACAGCATCGCACTCAGCCCAGGTCATGCAATTTACGATTTATCCTCCCTTGTGTCTCATGCGCCGATTCGAGTCCGACGCATATTCATTACCACCTATCATTTGGATTCCTTGAACACCCTCTAGCTCATGCGCTTGCAATGCCTCCCCTGCCCGCTACAGCGTTGTATTGCGCTTTCCCCTCCCTCACTTCCGGTAATCTGTGTCACATTCCGTCCTTCATTACGGATCCCTCCTTGACGCGCTCGTTCGTTTCAGGCCAGAAAGTAAAGGTGCCGCTTTGATGGTATGCTGTTCACCCGCCACGATTCCTCGAGTCGTGCGGAGCACCCGACCCATTTGCCATGGCGAACCCCAACCCACCCGGGCCATCCTGTAACGTGTGCACTAAGGGCTCTTCTTCCCATTAAAGAGATGCGGGTCATCTGCCTAACTTAAAGCAGTCAACAAAAGTTAATCCGTGATGGGCGAATGGGCTCGCATTCACTCAACCGCTGGGGATTCGAGGTGATGAATCGAACTTCCGTTACAAGCCCTTGGCCCACCTCTGTTTGAGCATAGATTATTCATTGCACCTGCACTCTGGTGACCGACTGCACCTTTGGGGCTAGGGGGACATCCCGTGATAGCTGACTAGGCCTAACGCTGTGATGACGGCCATTGACTACATTCTTACACTTGCTCCGAGGGCCACTGCGAAGCTTGCTCTTAAAGTGAGATCCTTTGTTGTCGGCCATCTCCCATTGTCTAGCTCTTCACCTCTTGGGCGGTGGGACTTTAGCCTCTACCCGCTCTCGTCTCTTGTCTACTGGATAATGCTCCTGCCTCGTGCTGTACTAGTCAAAGCGAGGTCTCGGTTGTCGCACCGCTTGGCTATGCCTATCATATTCTATTTCCAGATGCCGCGTTCCAAGGAAAAAGCTGCCGGTGGACTCCATTCCGAGCTTGCCGGCCGGTCACCATTTGACTCAACTCAACCCCGAATCAGCGATTCATCTGTCACACCCCTTGAGTGAAGTTTCCTGCATGCCAGCATGAAGCATATCCGTGACCCTGGATGACCATGACAGCCAGATATGATGTCTACTCACGATATTTAGGTCACCGACCCCAGTGAAGTATATATATGAATACGCTGGCGCAATGCACAACAGCTTCCCTATCTAAATACGGAATCAAAGAAGACCACGGTGAGGTCCTGAATGGATCCGGAGGCGAATATGATAATGAGGGTAGCCCGAGGGAGCCGTGTAAATAGGAGGCCAGATTAAATTTGGTGGAACCTCGGCTATGTGTGTCAGCACATGAAGGTTTGTCACGGTAGCCCCATTTGAACCTATCCAGAACTGCCACCACAGGGATGTATTTACGCACAGCGGCCTCATGCTCCTTGCGCTGGCCTCCGGGGTCAGTTTTCGGGTAGGCTAAATTCGTCATCGAGGGCGCTGCTCTAGGTACTCAGGGCTAGTTCTTCTAGTCCGTTGATTTCTGAATCTGTTTCCGCACACCTCAACTATTTGTTATACCTCAGTTACCATCGCTCCCCTATTTTTAAATTCAGACGGAGGCGGCTGGTCCAACTTGTCCCAACAAGCCCAGGTGAAGTCTTCCAAGCAATGAAGGCTACCACCACAATAATTGCAACAGTCCCGACTAAGCGCAAGAAGCGCCAGGGATGTATTTTCAAATACTGATTGCATCGTAAGTATTGTTTGTTGTGCGAATGGTCACAAATTCTTGCAACCAACAGAAGTGCGTCATGACCCAGATCATGCAACGCGGCTTCCAAAAAAAGGGTAGATTTGCAAAAAAGAGAAGGAAAATTGTCAACATATTGGGGATAGATCGTGTTGAAAATGGGTCGACGAGTTATCAATCAGGGCAAAATGGCACCACCCCCAAAAAATAACGGGCGAGAAAAAAAAATAAAGGATTGGAAGAGAAACACAATATGGCTCAATTCCCTCCAATCATCAATCTTTATACCGAAAACCTACGGTTGCTCCCCTGTGCGGCATCATCGATGGAAACGGAACCAGACCTTCTGTGTTGCTCCTCTTCATATCCAGCTGGCTGGTCCGTGCCATCGGCAGCGGCGGCACTCCCCCCTTTCTCATATGGCGGGGGGGTCGGCTCCGACTCGGGACTAGGTTGGGGATTCGGGCGAAACTTTCTAACAAGCCAAAAAATGAAAGCTGTCACCACAACTAGTGCAACGATCCCTCCAATAGCAGCACCTGCTACAAGTCCTGCGGAAGGGGAGCTGCCGCCCGGTGGTGGCGGGGTTGAACTGGAAGAGGCACTTGTAAAAGTGCTAGACCCTGGAGCGGTGGGCTGTGACGTTATCGATCGAGTTATGTTGCTACTAGTAAAGGAGGAAGCAGAGGTGCTGGAAGGAACAAGGTGTGTGCTTGTGGTAGTGGTTGTTGTGACACCCGATGTCGTCGTCGTCCGACTGTTCACAGACTATTTAAAACGAAAGGAAAGTGGGGAAACCAAATGGTTGTAAACTCCATCAAACACTTTCGCCAAAGACGAGTCCGAGAACTACTGACCACAGACGAGACTGAAGCGATGCTACTCAATGACAGGAGGGATTGAAGCGAAAGCGAAGAAATCTAAGGACCGGATCATTAAAAATGTTGCCATAGGACCGCGGAACTTGGTACGCACGCTGTACACGGAAGTGGTCGAGGTCACGGGAGTACTCTAATGGGAGGAGGATCAATACGTGGACCAAGTTCTATGGTCACATAAGAGGGCGTACAGAGGGCGAACCTGGCAATGAACTCCCACCCGGACTTGGCTACAGTGTCAAGGAACAGATCGTTTGAAATAACAGCATGAGTACGGGGGCAAATCAAAGTAAAGGTGCGGGCTTACGAACGTTAAGTGTATATGATTTACTTGTTGCTTGTGACCCAGAAGCGTCTATCAGAACGAAGTACACCGTTGTAGAACTGGTCTCGATGGTACTGCCGCGCAACATGAAAACAACATAAGTAAGTACTCGACTGTGATAACCTGAGGGCCGATCCAACGTACACGGAGAAGGGGGACCCGATGACTAGATCGCTCACCAACAACGTATTGGTATCCTGATCCCAAAGTTGGAACGTGCCAGGGTCCTGCACCAAAAGAAGAAGATAGTGATGTTCGCGGGGGGGAGGGGGGGGCAACCACCAGTTCGGGAGGGCAGCAATGCGCCCCGTTTGAAAAGGTTGATGTCAATCATCGAACTCGACCCTGTTGTAGCCAATAGGTAGAAACTCACCGTAGGACCCACCGTACAGGCCGTGAAGGACACTTGGAACGGGACGCCATTCGTGATCTGATCTGGGGTGTTCAACGTACACGCCCAACTAATCTGAGCACAGAGCGCGAAAAGAAGAGCACGAAGGATGCAGGAGAAGAGCCTTGGCGGTGCTATGTTTACTTGCTTTGTCCTTTTCATGGTTCCGACAGGGAAAGTGATGCGACAAATAGACCCCAGCGAAAGAAAGGTTGTAGAGGTTGAGGGGGGGAAAGAGTAAGAAACTTGTAGGATTTACCGTGTTCATCAAACACGCGGCTTCCAGCGTCCGCATCACAGGCAGACAAACTACCAGGCTCCCAAAAAAAGAAAAACCAAACTCAGCGGACACCGCGAGCAAAGCAACTGGTCGAAGCAGCCTCATTGCAAGAAGAAGTTTCGTCGATAGGAAAGGAACTCCCAAATCGAACCACCTCTGTCGATCAACTGGAAGCATGCAATCAGCAAATACAATAGGCCAGAACTTTTGAGCGAGGGGACTGAGCTCGTTCCTTCATATATGGACATTTTGGGAATCCCCCTCCAACGAGCGAGCGAATAGGATATCAAGTGGGGAGATCATGTCATGGGAGGTGCCTTTAGAACAGGTAATAAGAATGAATTCACATTTGCGCGGGCGCGCGCATTGGCGCAAATGAAAAGCCGTGATTTCATTCATTCGGCTGTGTGTTTAACATGCGGCAGATCGAATAATTGAAGTTAAGAACTGCTTGTGGCAAGAGGGGGGGGAAAGCAGCTCGTCGGGGAGGTACCCATGCTACTGGGTAAATCGGATGATACAGCATGCAACAGGCATCACGAAGCGCCGAGGCCCAGTTGCACCTTTCCCCAATCCCAGAGTTGGTAGAGGCCAACCCTATAATACTGGCCCTCCACAACGGAAGTGGGGGGAAGTATGTAAGAAACTGGTTTCCCCTCGGAGAATCCCGGCGCTCTACAATTAGTTTCTGTGTGAAATTGTCATGGTACTTGCGCGCGCGCGCGACCATATTACGAAGTGACGAACTTCGGTGAGCCCACAGGCGGCACGGTTGTGTTGGCATCGCTTCTTTCCACCTCGGAGGTAAGTACACTCGACGATGCATGCATGCACAAAAGCTTGTTTGATTGAAATTATTGAATTGAGGAATCAGTCCTTATCTACATTACATTATAAGAGAAACTGTCCCCCGGGACCGACCACTGTACCGAAGAGTCATCGGTTCCTTTGAATGAAGAAAGCCACTTGTTCTTTCAACCCAAACGGAGTTGAGCCCAACCCTTCTTTGCAGGACGCTGAGTTGGCCTATTCGATCTCCGTCTCCCTTCCTTCGATCTCCGGCTGCTTCCCTTGCAACACTCAGGCACTGGTGATCGACAGAGTGCGCCCTTGACCAGGAGTAGAAGACTTGTAGAGTGAACGGCGGGGACGTGACGTTCGGGTCGTTGTCAACCCGGGGGTGGCCACTAAATCGGTGGACAGCCATCCCGTCACAAGGAGCTAGTCACTACTGTTAAGTGGGGCCCTACCATCCCCTTCAAAAACGCATTGTGAAGGCTGAACTTGAGTTATGCAATTTGAAAGATTTATCCCCGCCTTGCGCTCCTCCTATGCCCCGGTCAATCCGATTGCATATTGCCGCCACCTCCTGTGGTTTTTGCTGCTCAAATCCCCTCTGGCTCATGCGCTTGCAATATCCCCCTCGTTCGCCACAGGATCATATGTGTCCGACTGTCGCTCCCTCCTGGTGATCTGTGCAGCACATGAGCTCGTTACGGGCCCCACTCATTCTGGGTTTCCAGGCTCGGAGGTATCAGTACCGCACGCACTTTGACAGTGTGCTTCTCATCCACCAGCAGCACCCGAGCAAATCTTTGCCTGCCGTCTTAGAACATGGTAGAAGTGACCCATTAGTACCATTTGGGGGCGCAGTCAACGAAAGTCGGTCTACGAAGAGCGAACGGGCTCGCATCTACTCAACACTGGGGACCTCCGTTACGCAGACAGGTGACCACCCTCTCTTTAACAGGAAGAGATCCGTTACGAACCCTCGACCACGATGCACACCTCTGGTGGGGATCGGGCCTAACGTTTGAAAATGGCCCATTCACTACGGTCTCACAAGTCACACTTGCTGTGGATGTCATCGCGAAGTCTTGGTCTTGAAGTGAGATGTTTCTATTTGTCGGCTACTTATCTCCGCTGCGCTTCGCCCCTGTACTCTGGCTTTCCAAGGATGATTGGTCTAGAGCGATGATGTGTGTTCCAGAAGGCATCATGAAAGTCGTAGGGGGAGGGAAGAAAGTCAACTTCTGCTGATCAGGCTTTGGGATGCAGGAACGGGTGGACATGCAGTTAGACCATGAAACTATTAGATCCATTGCATATTCTAGGCTTGAATGGCCCATGGGGTCTTCAAATGTTATTGGCAGGCAAGCGGCAAGAGGTGATGTGTGAGAGCAAGGTGGACACAGAATGACAAGCGCAAGCAAGAATGAATTAGAGGGAGAGGATAAGCAGAAATGAATAACAAATTGCAAAGGGGAAGGCATAATTTCGTAGAGGCTGGTAACCTGCCTAATAATTTCAGCGTCGAGATTCTACCAATATTGCCACAGGAGAGTGACTCTGCAGTGCAGAGTAACAGTGCAGAGTAATCCTTACAGCGAGCGTCAAAAAAACTGCGCACCCGATTTGGGTGGTAATTGGATTCCCATTCATTCGTGCAGAGTACTGCCGAGTTCCTGTCACTCCAACCAACATTCGATTTTTCCTCGGAATCTTGGACTATATCACTCCATGCCCAACGCACACAAGTCCCAACTGCATCGCTCGCGCCGTTGGATTGCCTCGAAGACCATGAGAACTAGCGCAAGCATGCGCTCCTACGCGAACTTTAACTATTCATAGCAACCTCCCACCTTCCACCAGCCCCAACAAACCCACGGGGCCAGACTTCACTTCATTTCGATCATATCCTCACCGTTCTACAGAAAAAGGATTCCGCCGGCAGACCAACAGAGAACCACCTGGGTGCTGCGGGGAGGTCAGATGGGTTGTGAAGCTCTGACCCACTCGTGGCAAGGAATATCAGGTAGTGGATGACAGAAGAAATAATGTGTAACATGACAAACACCACAGACGGCCGAGTTTCGGAGATATTTCTACCAATAGAATTGCAATTGGAGCTTAAATAGCTTCAGCTTAGCTATCGTTGCTCCAATTGAAGGCACTTCTCTACTGTACGTATTAGCGCTGAAGAAATAGCACGGCTAGCGAGATTGGTAGCGGCATGAAATGTGGACTCAAAGGGAGCTCACGGATTGCAATCCCCCAAAGCAACAGAAAGCTGAACATCAAATCTAGAGACCGTACAAGGCGAGTGAATCCATCCAGCCAGTGCATTCCTCAACTCAAGTCTTGCGGAACCTAACCAGTAGCTAGCATGTTTAATGGTGCGCTTTTCGAAACGCCAGACAAAGTAATGGATGCATGAGGATATTTTTATTGAAATCCCCGGCCGCCCATAGGACGAGTAGGAGGTTGCGCTGATATCGATGGCTTTACGGGTAAAGCGCCGGTTACCGAACGGATCGATGAGTGCGGATCTAAGAGCGAGTGGGTGTTGCTCAGTGACATTCAAACGTTCAATTTTGCACCCAGTATAAGAGTAAGCCCATATGCGAATATTCGACCTCCGTGCAACTGGGAGTCACGGTACCAATCGACGCATAGCGTGGTGATACTGCGGGCCATGCCTGGCCATCATCTAAGCAGGTGGCACAAGTAATCGGATAATCGAGGACTGGTCGGCGTGGACTGGAAGCTGGATGCAGGGAAAGGGGAGATGCCCATTTATTGAGGAGACTGAGGACATGATTTGATATATACACCTGAACAGCCGGAATATATGGGGCAGTATACTCTGATTGGCCTGAGCCTGTGCGGAACCCGGTTGAGACTCCATAGCAAAGGCACAATTACCCACATAAGCACTAGCCACTGAGGAGCCGAGTGCGGTCATCGCCTCCTTTCCGCTGCCACAGATATTGTCCTCATTCGCACAATACGAGTACTGGGTATAAAAAGCAGTTGGGAAGCTGGGAGATGTGGAAGAGGCCTGCCTGAAGCAATTGTCGTCGAGCGAAGGAGGGGATTTGAATAATTAGAGACGATTCTCGGATTTCCGAAGTCCAGGTGTGCATGTATGTAGCCTCTGACGCGGACGGTTAGGTTCGATAAACGCAAAACAATCGTACTGCCGTTTTCCATTCAATAGTCCACGTGACGAATTTCGGTTCCGCGCTCGCTCGTTGCGCGAAGGCAAGCCCGGCAAAGAACAGCTCATATCTCTGCAGGGACTTGCGGTTTCTTTTAAAATGCATGTATTTTACTCCTACAGATTAATTAGCCACCGATAATCCTAATTCTCGTTTTTTATGAATTCACATTCATCACAATCCCCCCCATTTTTCTCAACAATGGCTGGATGGAAAGAGGTGAAAATTAGGCAGTAGGTAGTTCTTGTAAATATCTCGAACCCATTTTTTTTTTCCAATTGATAGGACTTTTTCTTGTTTCTTAATCAGGTTATGTGCCATTCCGGTGACTCACACAGTCCCCCCCACTTTCCTCAACAACTACTGAGTGAAACAGGATAAAAGTCGCGCAGTGAGTGGTTCTTCCATATGTCTCAAACCCATTTTTTTTTCTAATTGATAAGATTTTTCTTCATTTTTTAATTAGGGTGGGTGTTCAAGACCATGCTCAATGTAGCTTGACACCGTCCCCCTGATTTCCTCGACAACGGGAGGGTGCAGCGCAGTGAAAGTCAGACAGTAAGTTCTTCTGGTATTTATCTCAAACCCATTTTTTTTTCTAATCGATAGGATTTTTTTTCGTTTTTTAACTTTCATCCCATTCCACCATCCATTGTTGAGGAAAAGCCATCAAACCTGAGGTGAGCCTGCGATGAAGACAGAACCCAATTAAAAAACGAAAAAAAATCCTATCGATTAGAGAAAAAAAAGGGGTTTGAGATAAATACCAGAAGAACTTACTGTCTGACTTTCACTGCGCTGCACCCTCCCGTTGTCGAGGAAATCAGGGGGGACAGTGTCAAGCTACATTGAGCATGGTCTTGAACACCCACCCTAATTAAAAAACGAAAAAAATCTTATCAATTAGAAAAAAAAATGGGTTTGAGACATATGGAAGAACTACTCACTGCGCGACTTTTATCCTGTTTCACTCAGTAGTTGTTGAGGAAAGTGGGGGGGACTGTGTGAGTCACCGGAATGGCACATACCCTGATTAAGAAACGAGAAAAAGTCCTATCAATTAGAAAAAAAATGGGTTCAAGATATTTACAA